GAAACACACGGCCGGTTTGAGTGAGCGGCGGCGGGCTTGAGAACGGCGCTGCCGGCGGATTTGACGAAGGAGTAAAAGTTACTCCTTCTTTCTTTGCGTGAACTTTTGGGTGGTGTTATGCAAATCTTCCCACATAGTGATGTAGATATGTGGGGGCGTGTTAGAACGAGGCATTTTAGGGGGGCGTGGCTGACTCTTAACTTTTATAAAGAATATCTCTTTGGATTTGAGACTTTAGTCTTTGCAACTTTACAGATCTTCTTTATGCACCAAGAGCTTGTAACACTCCAAAGAGAAAGGAAGAATTGAAATCACATCATACGACCCCTTTAAAGCCTGCATTTTCCTATCAGTTCTAAGAAAGACTTTTACCACTAAAGAATAAGAGGTTAAAGAATAACAACAACATTAATGGAGTCAGATTAACTCTATTGGAGTCAGATAAATAACCTTATAAATAAGTTTTAAAAGAATTAAATCTTCAGGCTGATTAAAATGAAAACACTACTTCACTACATGTAAAGTCTAAACGCTGATAAGTTTTGAGGTGTTCCTGTGATCTTCTCTCAGCTGTTGATCTGCTGTTATACTGAAGATCTCCAGTAGAGAGCCACACGTCACACTCAATCACGTGATCATGATCTCACGCGTGACACATTTGAAGAGAAACAGCCTGGACTTTACTGTGATAGTAGATGTTTGGGAGTTTGGCCATGGAAACTTCAAAGGAACTATTTCAGAACATGTTGTAAGAAAGTATAACTTTTTGTGTTTTAAACCATAGGGGTTTTCAAACTGGGGTCCAGAGGCCCAGGATCTAAGGTTCTAGTGGGTTGAAAATATTAGAGAAAATAGTGTAAAATGTAAACATATATCAGTAAATAGATTTTAATATTTTTTTTCCCTTTTAATGTGTATGTATTTATTTAAACCAAATGTAATTCATTCATTCATTCAAAAAAGTGGTCAGAAATCATAGGATTCTTTAGGTTTATGCTAACGGTGGATAAAAGTGTCAATTTAATAGTCAAAGATAATATTTTACACATTCATAATTTATTTTTTCATATAGTATATATGTTAGAAAACACTCTCTGTCTGGTTAAGTTCCATGAGATATGCCTCACCCCTCCTTTTTTTTCCCCTCTCTCTTATTCCCCCTCCTTTCCTTTTTCTCCCTCTCTCTCCCTCTTCTATATACAAAGCATTCTCTCTGAATCCCCCCTCCTGTATCCATTTCTCTCTCTTGTATTATGTTTTAAATATCTCTTACTCATATGCGAGGTATGCATGTTTAAATGTATACATTAGTTCTTGGTTTAAAGGCCCCAATAAGGACATGAATGTTAGGACTACAAGGGTAAAGGAGTTCGAGAGAAACTCTGAAGACAGTTCAGCATTCTTCGCAAAAGTCTATTCCTAATATGTCCATGTTTTTCTGTACATGTGGCCATTTTATATAAACACATGTTCTTGGCCAAAGATCCTATGTGTATGTTATTCATATCCTCATTGGTTAAGAGGGTGAAAAACTCCCCTTGACATATGCCTATATAATATCTGTATTTCTATGAATAAATTGAAGTATTGAGGATACATTTGACTGTGTGTTTTCTTACTTCCCGGCCGTCTATTTACACTTTGGGAGACTGAGAAGATTTCACGGTGGCAAAGAGAATTTACAGAGGCACCAATTGTTATTTTTATTAACAATATAAATAAGACAATATGCATGAAAATATAAAGCTGTCTTTATATTTTAGGAAGGGATTCCCTCACAAGGAGATCATCATATTTAAGGATCCCTGACATCAGAAAGTTTGATAAACCACTTCAACAACAGCTATACAGTAATGCATGCAGTAAAAACAGCGATTACATCAGTGATTACTGTACAACTGAAGCGACACCATGCTGCTGCTTCTTAAAAGAGAAAATGACAAAGTGACTCAAAATCATTTGAGCAACCTATAAATCAAAGAAACCACAGCTTCTTAGGTCAAACATTTGTGATCCATGTTTTCATTTTTGAAGATCAGTCCATTCATTCTCCAGGAAAACACCCTGGACAAATCATTCATGGCGTCTCTTCAGACCAAAGCTGTGTAATAGACAGACAGACTGTAGTGTCGTCTGGGTCTGGAGCAGTTTGGGTGCTTTATTATTATTGCTTCATTAAAGCTGCAGACAAACAGTCCACCACATTTCAGCTGCATCTTCAGTCGCTCCAGATCCACATCAGTCTCTGTCCATCAACGCTTTATATCGCATCTGTCTCTCTATCGGTTCATCTGCATCATGAGAGACTGCAGAAAATAAAGAAGGAAAGTGTGAGACATTTAATATGTCTAAAAATAACTCTTTTACTGGATGTAGTATGACCTAAAAGTCTATGATGTTAAAATACTCACAGTTTGGCCTTATAAATTTCACACTGCTTTGGTGACTTGTGAAACTTTTCCTTTTCTTTCCTGTGCTCTCCTGATTTTTGTTGTTCTGCTGCTTCTGAAGCTTCAAACCGGGATCATCACACTTCGTCATCTTCAGTCCAGAATGTCCTTTAATCTGTATTCTCTGCTCATAAAAACATATGCAGTAACTTACTGCTATAAGAGTATCTAAATTTTAAGAAATGTTTTATCAACATGTAGATAGTCTATTCTGATACTGGGGCTAGTTGTCACACTTTTAACTCAGGTGAAGTCACTTTTGAAAGTGCATTTATGTATAAACTAGAACATTTACCCAGAAACACTGTATACAGTTCATCTGACACACGCTGACCCCTGGTGGAGCATGATGCCACAAAAGGAACCTGACGCTGTTTATCAAATCAAATTATTAATCAAATTGGTAATCAATGCCCCCCTGGAAGAAATTTTGTACATTTTAAGTTAAATTCTTCTATCTAATGCACTTTGAACTTCAAAATTATATACTGTCTCAGACTACATTACATTCACACTGGTGTTTAAGGAATCCAAACTATTTACAATGTAATTATTTTATTTTATTATTATTATTCCTATGACAGTAATACCCTAATATTGCAAAACAGTTGCACTGTAAAACAAATTAAAATGAATATTTCACAGCTATATTATTTTGCTTTACAATACAGTACGGAAATTACAATATATTTGTCCTTATTTCTACACTTGAAAGAGATATTTTGAACTTGGATTGGAGTGCGCATTTAAACCACTAGCTGTCAATATTACAGACTATATGTTTGGTCTATATATGAGAAGTCTGTCTGTTGTGTGGGTATCACTGACTAAGAAAATAAACATGTTTATTATGTAAGTCATCTCAGGACAGTTGTCACACTGAATGCTTATTAATGTCTTCAATGTGAATATTAGCAGTTGCGAGTTACAGTGTGTGTGGTTTTGTGTCTAGAGTTATGGGACGATTGGCCAAAGATTAAGCAAACATGTCTCAAAAAAA